AGGGGCATGGTAGGATGAGTAAAGTAGTAAGGCTGATTAGGAAAGGAAACTTCTCTCTCTCTCTCTCTCTCTCTCTCTCTCTCTCTCTCTCTCTCTCTCTCTCTCTCTCTCTCTCTCCCCCTCCCTCTCTCTCTCTATCTATCTATCTATCTATCTATCTCTATCTATCTATCTATCTATCTATCTATCTGTCGTCGTCTTTGCAGGTGCGCGTGTCTTCCTTCAACGGTGCAGCGATGGCGGACTCTCCTTCTTCGACGGCGCAGCTACTGCTATGGTGCCCAACTGGCGCGCGCCTCCTTCATGTTGATGACGACGCTGGCGCGTGGAACAACGGAAGCCTGCTCCAATACCAACGCAATCAGACCCGTCTTCTTCCTCGTACAGCATGCAAACAGATAACAATCCACACTGGCGCCAGACCCCTACACAAAGCTCGGAGATATTACAGCCGAGAACACAGTTCAGATACACACTCGCTTCAAACTGGCTATGGCGCCTGAGCACCTACACTTCACTCCCCGACTCGGTGCTCCCAGCGACTATTCACATACTCTCGACTCTGGATCTCCCTGGATATCCCATGCACACTCACTCTGAATCTGCACACACACACACGTACACTAACTCTAACCTACGGCGGCGATGACCGTCTTCTACCAACTTACTACTAGTAGAGATGGTCGCTCTATCTCCCTCATGGCCCACTTCAACTTCGGGCATCTGCAGACCACCTCGCACAAGACGCCTGGGCAGCGCTTCCGCATGGCTCACACAAAATGAATCCCCTGGCTGGACGCTGCCTCTTGATTTATACTTCTGTCGGTCGCTGGTCTGCCCCTTTCCACCGGGCCCATGGTACACACAGTCCCACATGGTACTTGCTGACTAGACTAAGTGCGACTGGGACTGGGTACCGCTGATTCAACAAAGTTGGACTCCTACTTACCCACTTGCCTCTGGCCTAACGTGTAAAACTCTCGAAAGGCCACTTCCGGACCTTCCGGAAGTCTGTGGATTTGGCCTTTCGGGACTGTAGCAGCTACTACCTTGACCTTTCAGAACTGTAGCAGCTATGACCTTGACCTTTCAGAGTTGCAACAACTATGACCCCTACTTGACAGATCTACGGTTCAAGACCCGACAGCTACACAGACCTATGACAGAACATTCCGTTACCAAAGCGCAGGTCACGGGTTCAAAACACACAGGGTCGACTTGGTACTGTACACGGGTGAGGTAAGGTCTAGGGATCGAGCCCTGGGATCTGCATCTGTTACTGCAAAGGTGAAAAACGTTTCAGAGCTACGTCTGTGGTTGTCCGCCATGTCCGAGCTATTATGCTTTCTCCATCGTCACGATCTGAATTTTAATTTTTTTCTCTTTAAACCACCAGTACCTTTCTTTCCCTGTTTGACAAACAAATGCCCGCCGGTTAACACAGGAGGCGGGCAGGCAGGCTCGGGACTACCGGCGCGAAATGACTGGTGCCGCCAGCCAAAATGAGGCCCGCGCCGGTTCATTTTTTTTTTGCGCGCAGGGCAGTTTTAGGCTCTGCATCGATAGCTGAGAAAGGCACTGGTGGTTTTAACCATGGCTACGTGGTGACATGCTATGCAGTGGAGTGCATAGCATGTCCCGAGCCTGCCTGCCCGCCTCCTGTGTTAACCGGCGGGCATTTGTTTGTCAAACAGGGAAAGAAAGGTACTGGTGGTTTAAAGAGAAAAAAATTAAAATTCAGATCGTGACGATGGAGAAAGCATAATAGCTCGGACATGGCGGACAACCACAGACGTAGCGGAGTGCGATGAGTTGCAGTTGCTTACGCGCGCTGTACACTAAGTTTGTGTGCTGTTCCCCTGGTCTGAGCCGTGCGGGACTTGATCCCGTGACCTACAGTTTGTATGTTTTTTATTCACTAGCTTTGAGAAGTTATTGGGCTTGACCCGTGAACCTGTCGCTAGTAGCTCTCTATTTGGCAGTCTTAGGCCCTTCAGGCTTGCTGTTTTGTCCTTTTCTGGTCTTCTGGAAACTGGTAGGCCCGTAGGTCTCCCTTGTGTGTGTCCTACCCCAGTCTTGGGTCCCCTTGGTCTAGGTTCCCATCTAGATGCAGATAGGAAATGGTTACTGTTTGGTCGTAGATGTGTGCTGTTTGAACGGTCAGATAGGTTTGTAGGTGACCGCTGTGTTGTAGGTCTAGAAGTCGGGTAGAAGCAGGCAGAGGCCGACAAGATTGAGGTTCTTTCCTTTTTTCGGGGGGGGGGAGCGGCGACGGGAGTACGTGAGCGGCACTATTTCCTGCACTCAGTCTTCTTCCTCTTCGAAGGGGAACTTGGGCAGCCATACCTGGGGCACCCTGCTGCTTGAGGAGGCAGCACCTGTAGTAGGTCTTCCAGGTGCTGATGCCACTGCCATCACGCTGCTGTTTGTAGGGTTTGAAGGACGCCGCTGTTCATCACGCGGCTTGTTGCTGGTTGCTGCCATACCAGGGCAGCCATCATCTTCTTCGTTGAGGTTCACCTTCTTCTTCACGGTGGTTTGTGGCGCTGCAACTTGATATCTGGCTCATGCCAGATCAGCACCTGTACTTTCAGGCTCGGAGCATGACGACATGCTGTTTTCAACAGTGGGCTATCATTGGAGCCTGGGGGGCGTAGGGAGAAGAGGAAGTTTCAGTGAAAGTTCGTTGAAGTGTACTGTCGGGGGTTAATTGAAGGTGGAACAGATTTCGTGGTTGAGATTCTTGGAGTTGTTCGGTTTGACAGGAGGAGAGAGCAACCACGAAATTTGAAATTGAATAAATAATTGATTGAAATTTGAAACATTTCAAAGTACCGACCTTTGCTGATTTTTGGCAGGGACCTTTTGAAGTACCGGCAGGGGTTGTCTGAATAATTTGAAAGGGCTCTCTCTCTCTCTCTCTCTCTCTCCAGCATGTATGCACACATCACGGTTGCTGCTTCTTTTCTTTTTTCTTTTTTCTTTTTTTTTTGTTCCGCGCATCTGCGATCAGCGCACCTCACCTATGCGCCGCAAGTATGGGACTCTAAATGTATCTAGCCCTGTATCAGTCCAGATACGTGTTGAATATATTGAGTAGCCGACGTAGGCCCAAAAAAAAAGAGACGCAACCTGCATGGGATTTGACACATCTTGTTTCCGACACGTCTCACCATTTCCACAGATTCTGGGCAAAAATACCACACAAAAGGCCTCACTCCACTACTCTCGAAATGTGCAAAACGAGAGTGAATCTTCCACTAGAACACAGAAAGATACACCACCAATATTTTTATCTTTTGTGCATGTCAAGAGTAGTGGAGCGACGCCCAGAGAGAGCCGTACGATGTAGAAACTCAAAAAATGCAATTGTGGCCCTGCGGCGTGATACATCCAGCGGATTGACCGTGATCCACTGGAAAGAACAGCGCACATTGAACCGGAATAACAAAACAACTCAGCACCACGGCCGCCAAGATCACAGATTGCACGGCTCGAACTCCAAACTTGGCCAGTACCATAGACCTGCAGCCAAGGAGAACTGTGGTATTGTGTCGGAAAAAACCCTTTCTTTCTTTCTTTCTTTTTCTTTTTTTATTTTTTTGTGTTTCAACAAACATACACCACATCTGTTCTGGGGGGCCTCAGTAACAAAAAACCCTTTCCTGTCTTCTTGTTTTTTTTTTTTTTTTTTTAACACCAGTTGGTGCTGCTAGTGATCGTGATACGAGCCCCCTTTCGTGTCTTCTTGTTTTGTAAGGATGTATTGTTTTGTAATATATAGTAGTCAGTGAAACTCCGACGAAACAGTTTGTCACAGCCACCCCTTGTTTCTTGTCCTCTTCTCCATCTCTGCCTATGGTTTACCGGGCAGCTCTGTTTGACGATATATATAATATATATCGTCACAAACAGAACTGCCCGGTAAACCGTAGGTAGAGAGAGAGAAGAGGACAACAAACSAGGGGCTGTGACAAACTGTATATATATATTGTCACAGCCCCTCGTTTGTTGTCCTCTTCTCCCTCTCTGCCTACGGTTTACCGGGCAGTTCTATTTGACGATATATACTACGACTTCGCTAGCTTCCTGCTACGGTTTTCTCCGGTCAGGTCGAGCGGCAGTGGTCGGGGCCGTCACTACGCGGCCATGCTGTGCCTCTAGTGCCAGCGGCGTGTCTGGAGTGTATTTTTTGGCTGTGACAGACCTTTCTTTGTTTCGTGGGTGTTTTGCTGGCTTGTGATGGGGTGTGAACCGACAGTCTGTAGAGTTTTCCATCTGGTGTGGGTGAGTGATAGTCTACTTTGATTTTGGTTAAGGTGGATTATCACTTACAGTGTAATCAGTGAGGGGATTCTACAGACTGTTGAGGGTTCAGCCTCCTGATGAGTCGGTGAAACTCCGACGAAACAGTTTGTCACAGCCCCTCGTTTGTTGTCCTCTTCTCCCTCTCTGCCTACGGTTTACCGGGCAGTTCTATTTGACGATATATATATATATATATACATACATATATATGGATTTGTATTATGCAAATTGTTGGTATGAAAATTGCCTTCAGCTACGAACTTGACACTTAGCTCGAAGGGACCTCTCACTTGGTCCCGTGCCAACTCTACTTCCTCGCAGCTTTTCCTCTTACAATCCCGCATTTTCTGTTCTGTGAAGCGCATTTTCAACCTAACCATCAACTCTAAAAACATTCTGGGAATTTCTCCACTGTCAGCAAGCCCAAATAAAAAAAAGAGGGAAAAGTAAGGTAGGGAGCTGTCACGGTCTTAGTTTGAAAATGCGCTTCTGTCACGAGATTTTGCGAACGTTTTGTCAAACCGAGGAATATATCGTGAATGTATACAACCTAGTTTTAGGGTCAGATGGGGATGTGTTGTATTCACGGGATGCCTGCACCCTAACCCCTAAACTGCCATCGCGACTGCGCCCCCTACCGGGGGTAGTTCCCCCCTCCCCAGGAAAAAAAAAAAAGGATGGCAGGTAGGTAACAATGGGGGTGCACACATATACCCTACCCTTGCATAGTTGTCAAGGAGTTCCAGGCGCGCAGATAACCTCCTGTCGAGCCCTTCTCTGGCGTTGCGCACACGCTCCATGCGAGCACTGAGTTGGACAAAACATGCGGCACACACAGAAGACCAGCAGGACAGTCAGGATCTGTGACGTGAAGTCGCATTTTGAAGAATGGACTGGGACACAGTGGCTGACGCACAGTGCCACAATATACCACATAGTCCCATACACAGTGCCACACAGTGTCACGCAGTGTCACACAGTGGAATACAGTCCCACCCACACAGTGCCACATGGACTTCGACACTGACCCATACACAGCGTCACACGGAATGTCACAGAGAGAGGGCCACAGGCATAGAGTGCCACATGCATTCAGGCTGTATTTGAGGCACACAAAGAGTGGGTTGCACACTCACACCCACGTAGGAGACAAAGAGGGAGAGAGGGAAAGTGGGAAGTTAGGGGGAGGAGCGAGGGGGGGAGGGAGGGACGGAGGGAGCGAGGGAGGGAGAGAGGGAGAGAGGGAGAGAGGGAGAGAGGGGAAGAGGCAGAGAGAAAGAAAGGAAAAGGGACAAGGACAGAGGGCGAGGGGGATAAGGATACAGAGGCACAGAGGGACAAAGGGACAGAGGGACAGAGGGAGAGGGAGAGGGAGAGAGAGCGAGAGGGGGAGAGGGAGTACCACACAATTTGCCTCAGCTATCCTGGGCATATAAATGTGCAACGGAACACAGCTTGCCCTCAGATTGATACATGAAGTCATCTTTGGTTTCCTATATGCCATCTACTGGCACTTCTTCTTTTCTTCCAAATTCCGACTACCGTCTTCACCCGAATAGAACGCCCGGTCATTATAGCTGTATTTGGTGCAACTTCCAGTTTAGATACAGTGATAATGACCGGGCGACGGGCGTTCTATTCGTGTGAAGACGGTAGGTCTTCGAGCATTTGAACTGTAATACGTTGAAGTGGCCTGTGATCGGTTGCAGTCGACCAATCACAGTGAGCTTCAAAACCAATTACAGTTTTTGACAGTGACTATTTGAATTTGAAATCACCCAGCCAACTTCAGCCAATCAACCCACCGCTCCTCTCTCTCTCTCTCTCTCTCTCTCTCTCTCTCTCTCTCTCTCTCTCTCTCTCTCTCTCTCTCTCTCCCAATCTATCTATCTATCTATATCTCCAACCTAAGCCACCCTTCCATTGATCCCACCTACCCTCCCGAAAACAAGAAGGAAAGTCCAGAACTATAATAAAATATTAATGATTAGAAAAGAAAGCAAACTAAAAAACATAGAGAAATCAGTCAGTCTGACTCAGGCACAGGTAAAAGTACGTAATATTTGTTATCATTCTCTATGTCAAACCTGTAAGCAGACGAATCACCAACGGCCTCCATTTTATTCTGCAATTGGCACATCCTTGCCAGCATGCGCACCTGCAAGTTGCAACATACCCCCCCCC